TATATATATATTTATATATACCTACTGCACTTATATACTATCAGGTATTGTTAAAAAATTGTTAAACTCTATATGTATAGACACACCTGATGTGATAGCCTATAAATATTTATATAAAAGTACATGTATTTGAGTCGCTCTTATTCATGATCATAAGCACGTGATGATCCATTTACAAATTTTGTCATGCATATAGCAAATTGCCCATATTTATTGTTCATATTGTATGCCTCATTTTTTTTGTCGTTCATGTTCTAATGAATAATTGTTATTATTATGTTTGATTTGTTAAACTCATCCGTTGATATTTTTAAATAAAAAGTTTCACCTAACCACTTATCCAACCATCACAATCAACTAGACTTTTCATTTATAGATTTACTCTTGGTATTTTTAATTTCTCATTAGTGATTGTATTTTTCTTTCAGGGTCTAAGTAATTCTTTCCTTATTTTCATTTTAGTTTCTTTCAATTATCTCATTTTCTTTCGGTTGTATCAGTTAACTCTTATTTATAAAATAACATTTAGCTTTTCTTCAATTCTTTTTGTTATTACTTGAATCCACTTTTTCTTTAGAGAATACAAAACATATTCAATTATTTCTATTGTGCCATGAATTGTCGGGATGTACCACATTCTAGACCCGATGTACCGCATTCTAGACCTGATGTACCGCCTTCCAGACCTGATTTGTGACACTTATACTTCAATAGTTGGGGAAACAATAAGAAACCTCTAACTAGACACATCAAAGTCATATAACATCTTTAAAATCATGACAAGCTAATATGAAAAAAAAAATCAAGTTAAGTTGACGAGATCAAAATTATAATGTTTGAGCCACGCACTGGTCATTGATTTTGGTTACAATTTGAGCTCAACCACTCCAATTCAACTTGATATCACCCTCAGCCTATCAAAACTTTCAGACAGCTGATCCACAATTTTAAATAAAAAGGGAACAAATAATTTTCGTGACAGCATGGGTCAATCGAAATAATTCATGAGAATTTTGTCACTTGTCCACTAAGTGTTGAGTCCGAACACTAAGCAAAAATTGAAGAGTTTTCGAACACTGGGCAAAAATTGAAGAGTTTTTGTAGCTCCAAACAGGCATCACAGCAAGAACAAAAAAAAAATCATATAGAAAACATATATACTACTGCGTGGAAGAATCAACTGTCGCAGTGTAATAGTTAGAGGTACCTGTTTAACTTCAGCTAACCACGCAGTGAACTCCGGCCGTTTGTTCCTACAAAACAATACGAGAAAAGAAGAGACTCAGTTTCTTCCTGTAAAACATCAGCTAATCATTATGATCTTTTTGGTCAAGAGAAAGAAGAATCAGTTTCCCAATTCAATATCAAGCTCAAAGGGTTGAGCATCAACTCAAAATCACCAGCTAACAAAATTCAATTTATCAATCTAAATGAATTTAACCAGAATCCACAAAAAAAATAAAATAAATAGAGATAAAAAAAACAGTGTACAAGAGATGCCCTAGAACTGCGGGAATCAAATTTGCGATTTCTATCAATTCAGAACAGTCCCTAGGTAAAATAAATAAGAATATTGGATCAACCATTCGAGAGTAATTTTACAAAAAGAATTAAAGTACTTTGATCCCAATCTACTGATTGGCAACAGGAGGTGTTGTACAATCGGAGTTCAAGCTCCAAAAATGTCGAAAATTCGCAAGGGTTACCGAAGCAGAATGCGTTACCACATGTCGGTCTCTTTGATAACACCGTACTTCCCCCATGAGTTCGTGACGGCCCCCTTTGTCACTCCATCCTTATCTTTCTTCTTCTTCTCCTTCTCCTTTTTTCTGTCCTTCCTCCTCCTCCTCCTCTCCTCCTTTTCCCTCTTCCTCCTCCTCTCCCTTTCCTTCTCCTTCCTCCTGCGTCTTTCCTTCTCATGCTCCCTCTCCTTCCTTCTCCGCTCCTTCCGCTTCCTCCTCCTCCTCAACTCCTCCTCGCTCTCAGACTCCGACTCTGAATCCGACTCGGAATCCCCCTCCGAGCCCGTTTCCGACTCGGAATACGAATCGGAATAGGAGCTTTCATCCTCAGACTCACTGTATGCATCCCTCTTACGGGATCCTCTGCTCATCCCCCCCTTCTTTTTCCTCTTCTTTTCTCGTGCTTTCTCGCTATCGGAATCACCGGAGCTATCGCCGCTGCTCTCCTCTTTCCTCTTCTTCGCCTTCTTCTGGCGCTCTCTTCTCGCCGGCTCCTCATCTCCTCGCTCCTCCACATCCCCTCTCACTCCTATTTCTTCATCTCGAGCAGGTCCGTTCCGATCCTTCCCCATTTCGCCGTCCAGGCCACCCAGAAACCGGCGACTCACTCTCTCTCTATCTGCACCTAAGATTGAAAATATTTAATCTGGACCGTCCAATAGGGGGTTGATTAGCTATAAAAGACGGCGTGCTGGCTTTCATGGAAGCGCAAGATTCCCCAAGGGGCTGGGCTCACATGACCCTCCTATAAACAGTATCTTGGGCCTTCCCATTAAAATTAATTCTGGATTTACGAATTCTGTTTTTTTTTTTTTTTTTTTTTTTTTTTAATAACAAATAACATTTAAAATTGTTAATATTATACTTCTCTCAGTTGCTTGTGTCCAGAAATTAGTATTAAACTCATATTTTATATTCAAAATGTATATTGTATGTAGATAATAGCAGGAATAAATATAAAAATATAAATTTTATTATTAATTGGCCAGTGATACAAGCGCAAGAAAAATAAAAAATATATTTAATTAAAACTAAAATGGCAGTAGGAATTAACTACACAGACCCGAGAAGAAAAAATACATCAGTTAGAGCGAATATTGAGCAAATAAAAAACTATCAAGTATGGGAACGATCACATTATTAGCTGAATAGAACATGTTATATAAAATTTTATGAGTGAATATGAAAGGCAAATTCAATAAATAACAAATATTTATTAAAACATAAAAGTCAAGAGGAAATGAGACGTGAAGTATGAACATCAAATATGAATGATTACTGCATGCATATATAATATCATAAAACAATAAGAAAATGTTGAACCTCAAATATGTTTACTCAAATATTTATTAAAACATAAAAGTCAAGATGAAATGAGACGTGAAGTATGAACATCAAATATGGATGATTACTGCATGCATATATAATATCATAAGACAATAAGAAAATGTTGAACCTCAAATATGTTTAC